AAATACCGGACTACCACAATTAAATAGCCAAATAGAAGACGAAATAGATGAAATATTTGGTGATAATAGTGATGATGGTATGGAAGCAATGGAAGAAGAACGACAAATACAAGTTCCAAAAAATGTTTCTTTTGAAATGATACAAAAGTTACGAAAAGATTTTAAAAAGAGTTTCAATTGTTAGTACAATAATTAATATTCAATACCTAGATTATGTACTCTTTGTCTCTTTCTAATATTTGTATTGTACAATTTATTTATTTGAATAAATATACGGCTATTCGCCTTGATTTTCTTTTAAAATAGTCTCTTATATTTAAACCAAGTCATTTTAGAAATTTAATTTTCAACTATTTTAATATTAGTTTAAAGTTTAAACTTTAATATAAAATTGAATTTTAAGATTTAAAATTTAAATTCAATATAAACTTTAAAATTTAAATTCAATATAAAGTTATAAACTTTAAAATTTAAAGTCAATTTTAAACTTTAAAGTTTAAAGTTTAAACTTAAATTCAATTGAAACTTTAAAGTAACTTTAAAGTTTAAAGTTTTAAATTGAAGTTTTTTAATAATATAATTTTATTAATTAATAATATAATATTATATAATAATTAAAGTTAATAAAAAAAAATAAAAAATTATCGGTACAAAATGATCCGGTAAGAACCGGTTCCGGTAAGACCCGGTTCCAATAAAATCGGTCCTGTTGATCCAGTCCTGTCCGTTTGCCAGCCTTAGATCCTTCATATAAATGTGTTTGAGTTTTATGCACTGATGACGTGAATTTATATAGGCATGGACAAATGGTCGATTGCATTCTCCCGTCCACAAGGTAAAAATGACTGGAGAAAATGATAGATTTTCCATTCAATTATTTTCATTCTCGAAACCAGGTCACTTTATAAAGGCCCAAAAAAACTTGTGGATGAAGAACACCCTTTACTCTTCAAGCCATTTGAAATGATTGGATTATCTGAGTATGTTACTTCCCAAGCTGGCTATGCAGCTCCCAATGATGCTTTCAAGGCTTATTGTGGTCTTTGATAGGCTAAACGTGAATTTCTAATGAACATTTTTGTCAGAGTACTGTTAGTATATATGGGATTTCTAACAGAATATTCATCAAAAATGTCTTCATCATTTCATTTGGAATTCGTGTTTTTATAATAGTGTGTATCCTTAGGGACCAGCAATGGTTCTTGAGTATCGGCCATGTCCAGGGTGTAGACTCGGGTTGTGACACTATTGATTCTAGCTAAGTTTTAAGGAAGTAAGTATGAGAATGAGAAGAATCGTATACATGAATTCCATATTGTTATTTAGACCCTCGAGTTGAGTCGTTCATGCCCATAAATTTCGCATGAACTTCATAAGTTGAGTATCTTTGAGAGGAGTAGTATCTTCAAGTTCTAAGTCTTGAGTATTGAGTTCCTAATCATTTAGGGATTATATTCCTAATCATGGGGAAACTACATGTTACCCATGAAGGTCGTTGAGTTGAGCAGTTCATGCCCATAATTCCACATGAACCCTATGAGTCGAACAATCTTGAAATGAGAGGTATCATTGAATCCTTGAATTGAGTTATTCACGTCCATAATTCGGCATGAATCCTATTTTAAGAAGTCTTTTGCAAACTTTTTTTAAATTTGTGTTAAGACTTGAGCATATGAGTTGAGGAAGAGTAGAACTGAGTTCATTTCCTTTAAAATGATATATTGGAACTAAGTATTCCCAAGAGTAAATGTTTTTACATTTAAGATGAGAGGAAACTGAGATTTCCAAAAGAGTTTTGAGCAGTTTGAGTATCATCTCTCTTAAGAGAAATATTTTTGAGTAATGGTGTGTGACTATCAAAATAATGGTGTGTGACTATCAAAATAAAATAAAAAAAATATTGTGCTATTTGGGGTTCAAACCCAAAACTCATGCATTCAAATGGACACCTATTACCACTACATAAAAAACATACCTTTTATCAAGAGTGTCCAACTTTAAATATATATCATTTAAATGTAGTTTGACATATATATACAATGTAATTTTTCAACAAAAGCCTAGTTGGACACCCTGTGATAGCTATAGCTACGCCCCTGGTATAGACAAAAAGATCCTCCCACTACCACGAATAAAAAATAAAAATATATTATAACTTGTCAATATACTCAAACTATGATCTAATTCAATCAATAAGTGTTGCAATTAGACACTTTTGAATTTAATTTAGGAAAAGTTGTTTTCCGCAAGTATTTTTAAATCGCGTCCTTACGTAGATAAGATAATCTCATAAAATAATGTCACCTCCTTTAATTATAGGGAAAATTGTGCATTATAGCAAACTATTAATTCAAAATAAATGTTATAACTACAGTTTCATTTAATTCCAATTCGTAAAAAAACACATTGTCATTCTCACCTCTCTCCCATGAATCTCTCTCGCCACTCTCAATTCTCTCCCTCGCCTCTCACTTTTATGCAAACACAAATGTATAAATTGTGTTTGTGTTTGTATAAATCGAGAGAGACTGCATATACAAATACAAATACATATCTCTCCGTCCTATACACTTATAATTACACTAATACAAATCTTCCCCTGCTCAGTTCTCTTTTGCCTTTCTCTCTCTTTCTCTCGCTTTATACAAACATAAATTATACAAATACAATGTACAATTTATGTTTGTATAAAGCGAGAGAGAAATTTGATATACAAATACAAATACAGATATTTTAACTCGATTTAATTGTATATTAGCTTGATTCAATTGTATAAAAATTCAAATTTTATGCAGATATACAAACACAATCATCTTAAACTATTGTGAGTCTGTTGTTTCATACCTAAACATATACTAACTTTCTCTAAAAAAATAATATATATATATATATATATATATATATATATATATATTTAACGGTCATTAATTAATTGTCGGATCATTATTGGTATAATGTACTTGATGGTATATTAATTTTCTAAGGCTTTATTTCTTTGGTATTTTTTAACCATCCGATGTCGGATCTTAGCCATCCGATGTCCAAAACACACTCGTTTAATTAGGTTCTAATTAATTTGAATTTAAGTCATACACGTTGACATACACTTGTCAATAGAGCCTGATTAGCCTATATGTGTCCGTTCTGACCTGACTCAATAAAATCTACTACTAACATTTTCACAGAAAATGAAATGATAGGAATAATAATACATATATATAGTGGCGGAGCCAGAATTTTCAATAAGGAGGTTCAAAATCTGAAGAAATAGACACACGAAATAGCCAAAGGGGGTTCGACATCTACTGTCTATACATAAAAAAAATATTTTAACTATGTAAAAAAAATATAATTTTTCTCCAAAAGAAATTCGGATGAACCCCCTAATGATAAGGTGGCTCCGCCACTGCATATATATACATAACTTTATTTTAACCTATTTATATAACCTAATTTTTCAATGAAAAACTAACAATAGAGCTGAGTTAGCCTACACATATTTGTTCTGACCCGACTCAATAGAAATCTACTAATAACATTTTCAAATAAAATGAAATAATAAAAATAATAATCATATATATACATAACTTTTTTTTTACCTATTTATATAACATAATTTTTCAATAAAAAAATATTAATATTAAATAAAAAAACTCGTCACATATTTAATAGTGTCAATATCCTACTTTAAAATTAATATACTATCAATCTTTTTGGGTGCTCTGAAAAATAGAAAAAAATAACGGAACTTTATTTAAAAAAATATAGCTATCCAACATAAATGAAAACGTGTTTAAAATTTCAGTGGTTAATATTGTTGTGAGGTGCTATAGATGTGTACAATTATTTCAAATTGTCTTATATTAATCATTGACCCATAACCAACATGTGACTTGTGAGGTGCTATAGATGTGCACAATCATTTTCTTTCTTCCTCAACATTTTTGTTTCTTTCTTTATGGTAATGGTAATTAATTAATTAAAATATGTTTATTTATGTAATTTTCCAAAAAAAATTGAATTTACAAAATAATTTTTGGAGTAATTATTTGCTACTTTTATTAGCTTAAAAAGTAATAATGGCCATTTTGTGCCAACTTTTCAAAAGAGGGCTAATAGATGTCAATTCCTTCCCTTAGTACAGCATGCCAATTTTCTTCATGCTTCTATGTTTAGATACAAACTATGTCTTGGTCACTATTCTTTTCTAAAGATGTTTCTGGATTACTAAAGTAGTTTTTTTATTTACTCAATCTGAATGGAATTATAGATCTTCAATGTGATCTAATATTAATTTTATAGAACTGAAAATATTTTAATTTCTTAGTAACACATAGTTGTAATATTCATTTCTAGAAAATAAAGAATGTCAATTAACAATTTTTTCTTAAATCCAAATTGTAGACTATTTTTTAAGAAATGAAAAATATATTTGCTCTAAATTACAAATTTAAGAAATACCATATTTATAAAATAAAAGGGTACTTGAACAATTATGGCTAAAATCATTGCGGCCAAAATGACGTTTCGAATCGATATTCCACTTTAAAATTAATGTACTATCAATCTTTTTAGGTGCTTTGAAAAATAGAAAAAAATAACGAAACTTTATTTTAAAAAATATAGCTGTCCAACATAAATGAAAATGTGTTTAAAATTTCAGTGGTTAATATTGTTGTGAGGTGCATAGATGTGTACAATTAATCCAAATTGTCTTTTATTAATCATTGACCCATAACCAACATTATTGTTGTGACTTGTTAGGTGCTATAAATGTGTACACTCATTTTCTTTCTTCCTCAACATTTTTGTTTTGTAGAAATCAACTAGAAAATATAGGTACGTTGCTAGGCAACTAGTACGGAATGAAGTGGGAAAAAGTAGAGGACCTGGCGTCCTTGGCGCTCTGAGTGGCGCAGGGCGCCAGAGGCAAAATTTCAGAGACTGGGTTGGGGCGCTCTATATATAATCTCTATTCCCTCTTTAATTTTCATATTGTAAAGTATTTCTCCTTCTTTATTTCTTTCTATTTCCTCTCTTTTTAATTTATTCATCAATGGCATCTACTAAAGTTAAGATTCCCACCATAGATTTTTGCAATCTTGAGCTAAAACCAAACACTCCACAATGGGAATCAACAAAAGTTCAAGTTTTTGAAGCCTTACAAGAATTTGGTTGTTTTGAAGCAATATATGACAAAGTTCCAAATGAAATTAGAGAGGGCATGTTTGATAATTTAAAAGAAGTATTTGATTTTCCATTGTCCAAATTGATAGAATATAGAGAAAAACCCTTTCATATATATGATGGGAAAATTCCAAGTATACCACTCTATGGTAGTGTGAGCTCTGCTGATTTGGTCCTCCCAAATAGTGTTGAAACATTTGCCAATACCTTTTGGTCTGATGGAAACCCTAACTTTAGGTATGTATTACTTCTTTTAATTATATATAATGTGCTTGGTATTATGAAAGTCATTTTTCATTAATGATATTTGAAAGAATAAGATTTATGTAGGTGATATCATTTAGTTTTAGTCATGTTAGTACACCAATTATTCTTGCTCATATATTTGTAGGAGATTTTTTTTTTCATTATGTATTCGGTATTTATTTTGGGATTCAGATTAATAATATGGAGTCACGATAGTGTAAGATGCATTAAAAAGAGAAACGTTTTCTACTAGAATTGTTTTTATTCCTAAGGCTAGAATCAGGAATCTTTAGTTAAATTATAGAGATAATATTCATTCCATCACTAAAGGTGAAAATTAAGTATCTTATTGTCCATACATTTTATATAAAAGAGATGTGATCATTAATAAAATAAAAATTAAGAACTCATGAGTAAACAAAATAAATATATCTAATTTATATTAATTAGAAGAGTATTTAATAATTATATCCAAGTGATAAGCTAATAAAATCAATATAAACAATCTAATCACATGATTCATTGTCGATATTCATATAGAATTGGTTACGGGTATGTGAAGGGATGGAGGGGAGTACATTTCATTGAGTAACAATGCAATAGTTGGACATGATTTAACATGCTCGAACAAGATATCACAATCTAAAATGATTAAAAATAACATTTAAATATTTTTCACACATCGCGCGAGTATGTATACTAGGTATATATACATTATATATTAAGGGTGTGTTTGGTATGAAGGAAAATGTTTTCTTGGAAAACAAGTGGATTTCTAACTTATTTTCTCATGTTTGGTTGGTGAATGAAAAATATTTTCTGAAAAAATATCTTTTATTTTCTCTTGAGACTAGAAAATACTCTTTAGGAAAATAATTTTTTTTGATGGGAATGACTTTGGGGGGGGGGGGGGGAGGGGTACGGGGTGGGGTAAAAATGAAAATTCTTTAAATTTGAAATATTTCCCACATATAATTTTTTTTTAAAAAAATTGAGGGGGGTGGCGGGTGAGGGGGTAGGGAGTAGGGGTGGTAGGGGTTGGTGAGGTAAAAAAAATTTAAGATTTAAAAAATTTTCAAAAATAATTTTAATTTTTTTTTTTATGTTTGAGGGGAGGGGGGGGGGGGGGGAGCTAGTTTGGTGGTAGTGATAAAAATATATTTGAAATTTTAAAAATAAGAAAATTTAAAATTTTAATTTATTTTTTTGAATGGGGAGGGTCGGGTAGGGGCATGGGTAGGGGTAAGATTAAAAATAACATATTAATATTTTCCGCACATCGCTCGAGTATGTATACTAGCTATCTATACATATATATTAAGGGTGTGTTTGGTATGAAGGAAAATGTTTTCTTGGAAAACAAGTGGATTTCTAACTTATTTTCTCATATTTAGTTGATGAGTAGAAACTATTTTTTAATGTTTGGTTGGTGAATGAATTTTTTTTCCAGAAAATATCTTTTATTTTTCGCTTAAGACTAGAAAATACTCTTTAGGAAAATAACTTTTAACCCGAAAATCAACCCCAATAATCAATCTAGGACCCGACCGTAACACCCGAACTAGGACATGACCTTGATGACCGTTCAAAATCCGACCCAGAGATCTGACCTAGGACCCCACCCAGACTTCCGACCCTGAAATATTTTTCAAAAGTAATTTTTTAAATAAAATAAAAGTTGACAGGGGTGGCGGGCTGGTTTGGTAGTAGGGGTAAAAAAATATTATAATTTAAGCATGAAGTAGAAGTTTCGAAAATGTTTTCCTTAATTTTTAAGGGAAATCATTTTCCTTAAATTTGAGGAAAATAAGTTGATTTGGAAAACATTTTCCAAATAATTAAAGTCAACCAAACATGGGAAATTAAAAAACATATTCCAGAAAATATTTTCCTTCGTACCAAACACACCCTAAGTGTATTTCTTACATAATTTTGAGTAATATCACAATATTGCATTACCATTATATAAGTTTTGTATGTTTTAATTTGGCAGCAATGTGGCAAAGTCCTACTTCAAGCAACTTATGGAATTGTATGAAATGGTGACAAAAATGGTTTTGGAGAGTCTTGGGCTAAAAAATTACATTGATGAAATCTTGAGTTCCAATTTTTTTGTGTCAAGATTTACTAATTACAAGGTAATTAAAGGTGAAGGTGAGAACAAATCAAAATTACCTCCCCACACAGATAGTGGCTACTTGACTATAATTAAACAAAATCAAAATGGATTGCAAGTTCTCTACAAAAATGGAGAGTGGATAGAGCTCAATAATACATCACCAAATTCCTATATCGTTTTATCAGCAAATGATTTCATGGTAAGTTATTATTTATTTTTGAGTACCGAGGTAAAAAATACACCTAAATTATTTGTTTATGTGTATTTTTGACGCTTAACTCTTTATTATTTTGTGTGTGAGGGGGTGGGTTGATGCTATAGAAGAGGAGAATAAAAGAAATAGAGATTTTTTTTGTATGATTGATTATTTAAGCCCAACTAGAAGCTAAGATCAGAGCAATTTTGAAGTAACGATAAGATTGTTTGTATGTGATTTATAGATTACGATGCGGGCTTGATCGAGAAAAAATCACTAATATTTTCTATTAGATTAGATTGTTTTCCTAACATCCCCTTGAGGTGCTGCCCTTTCTCTGTGAAAGAAATCACTAATGCTTTTTATGTGTCGATGTTGTGGATTTATACAGGCATGGACAAATAATAGTTTGACATCTGCTGAACACAGAGTAGTACCAACAAGAGACAAAGATAGATTATCTATTCAATTATTTTCCATACCACATCCAGATTATACTGTGAAGGACCCCAAAAGAATTAGTGGATGAAGACCACCCTTTACTCTTCAAGCCTTTTAACTTGCTTGAATTTCATAAATAAACTATGTCAGGTGATAAAAATGGAATTAATCTCAAGAATTATTGTGGTCTTTAAAAATTTTGTAGGGTATGAAAATTTATTTATGTGTATTTTCTTTATGAATAAAATGTATCGTATGTATGGGTGGTTGAAAATTTATATTTGAATGGTTATTGCATATGATTACATAACGTATTGTATTGTGTTGCGTTGTATTGTAATGTATTGTACTGTATTATTTTTATTAAAAAATATATGTGTTATACCCCATTTTAACTCGAGATCCAAATGGTGTACAACATATTGGTGATTTCCAAATTATTAACTAACTTAAGAAGTCGCCACCTAATTAATTATGGTGAATTAGGACACCTAAATATTTAACTAGCTAATAATAAAATGACTTCAATTAAATGGTCTACTTAACTTGCATGATTCTAGGTAAGGGTTCTAGTTATCCTAAAGGGAAGGGGTAAAACATCCTTTAAGATCCGTAAAAAAAAACAGTTAACCGACCAAACTTAGGTTAATTAATTTTAAAATAATGATATGAGTGCTAAAGATTAAGTGATTGAATAATCAAATTGGAAACATTTTTTTAATTGTGAAAGCTCTTTTGTAATTGTAATAGAATGATAAAGATTTAAGAAAAAGTAACTCGTCTTGGTGAATTTAGACAAATTTAGTAATCCAATGGCTAAAAGAAAGGTAATTAAAAAAAAGGTATTTGCTCTCATTTATTGACAAAGTGTTTCCTTTAGAAAAGTATTTTTTTTTTTTTAGAAAGATAGGAGTTTAGAACTTTTTTTTTTTTTTAAATACACTATCAAGTTTGAACAAAACTTAATAAATTAGTGAGTTTAAAGTGGTGCAAATTTAAAAAAATGTTTGTCAAATGAAGTTCATAAAAGCTAAAGTAACTATAAAGGTTTGTTTCTAACTAAAGGTATCCAAACTCAAACATCTATGTTAAGTCAACTATTATGAATCCAAACTAGAAAAATCACACAAGCAAGGATAACATGTAAAGAAAAACGCGTAAACAAATAATGCAAAAATGTGAGTAGCCATAAGTGACTCCAAGATAGGACCACTTGCTTTGCTTGCAATTTTGAATGGTCAAAGAGGTAGTGAAGACTCCATGTGCGGGTGTGAGGATAATGTTAAGTCTATGAGACTTGATTTCGCGAGAGTCCTTAATTGGGACTCCATTTTTGTTCCAAAGAATTCATGCAAATAAAGAGAAGATAAAATGAATTAGTAAGACATTCGACTTTAAGCGATATTATAGTACTAATTAAGTAACATTATATATCAAATTTAATATTTAACATATAAAGCGTGCTAATGTCGAACGAAAAACTCAAACTAAGATATTAAAGCATTTTTAAGTAGCCCTTACGAAACACTTGGAAGAAAATCAAAACATCCAACTGTACTAATTAATGAATTAAGCAAAAGAATTTAAAATCTATATTTTGTACACATGGAGATAATATAGGAATCTTAGATAACATGCCAAGGATCATGATATTTCTTACTCTAACAAAAATAAATAAATAAAATAAAGACATAAAGAAAATTAAAAATAACCTGCATATCATTTCTAAAAATAATCAACAAATATCAACGAGCTGAAGGAATAGGTCCATAGCTTTCAAGTGTCTGTTGACACCCAATTTTGGACCTCAACATTGTGTATTAATTATCGAGCTTCTTCAATTTCAAACGATTTAAAATACTTAGTTTTATAAAATTTCAAAATAAATAAATATAGTTTTGAAGCTATTTTAAATAGTTGTATCATTTTTATATTTTTTAAATAATGTATGTGTTTTATATAATTACGTACATAATTAGTATATTTTTAAATATTCGAAAATTATCCCAAAAATATTTTTTATTTTTTAGTTGAATGTTTTATTAAATTAGTTTACTTTAAGTTGGCATATATTTTTAGTTAATAGTTTATAATTAAGTTAATTATTTTATTTCGTTAAGATTAAGAAGCTCGTTAATTAATTAATATTAATTCATCTTATCCAAACTTTAAACCAAATTTGCAAATCAACTCAATTTGGTTAACTTCATTAAATTCATTTGGCAATCTTTTCACTCCCCTTCTTAACTCATTATTATCAGCAGCCCATTACAACTCTATCAGCAGCCCACCATTACAAGCAACAATTCCAAAGACCCAAAGGTGGGCCGACTTTTTCCAGCCCATTTCCTTTTTTTCAGCAGTCCCCTTTTGTTTTGGAAAAATTACCTCATATATCTATTTAAGGCTTAATATTACAGCCTTTAGATGTACTTTTTTTATATTACTACTTATAACAATTTAATTACAAATATTAACAGATTAGTTTTAATTTATAATTTTATTTAATTAATTAGTTATTATTTTTATAATTACATTATAATTAATAAGTAAGAGAAATAACATTAATATTAGAGAATCAATTGTCATTATCTCTTCCACCATTTTAGGGATAACATTAATATTAGAGAATCAATTGTCATTATCTCTTACACCATTTTAGGAATTTTTTTCCAGATTTCACACAGCAACCCCCACCTTCCTCTTTTACCCACGCGTAAATCCCACACCCCCACCCCCACCCCCACGTTTCTCTTTTACAGAGAACTAAATTTTTCTCTATCACCATCTTCAACGTTCGTCTTCTTCATTCAAAAAGAAAATCAGTAGAACTCCCACATTTATATGATTTAATGGTGGGATGAGATCTACACACGAAGAATGTTGAAATTCCAGCAAAGTGTGGTTCCTCTCAGTCGAAGGATCAAAAGGAGAAAAAAAACTAAGCAAAGAAAATGGTGAGTCCGGCAAATCAAAAGGGAAAGAAGAGAAAGGGGAAAATTGTAGAAACCCCTTTTGATTCGAATTCTGATTTTGTTAGTGAAATAAAAAAGAAAAAAAAGAAAAAAAGGAACAAATGTAGAAATTACTCAATCTTCAAAACCATCAACAAGAAGAACAACAAAAAAGAATGAATCAGAAATTCGAATATCCAAAAAAGGCAAAAAAAGTTGTTAGGGTAAGTATTATATTTAATTTATTTTCACATTATTCAAATTAGTGATTATTTTGCTAAAAATATCACATTATGCTTATTGTTGTTTTGAAACTTTTGTTTGGGTGAAACTTGTACGAAATGTGAATAATATTTATATGAATCTGACTTTAATATATGATTTTGGGATATTATATGAAATGTGATATAGTAATGGTATGCAAATGGTATGAATTGTGTTTTGACATTGGTTTGATATCAGTAGCCCAATGGTATGAGTTGTTAAATTGGTATGCAAATGGTATGAATTGTTAAATTACCCTGTTTTGTATGAATTATGACTAATATTGATATGAAATTGGAATTTTTTCTAATAGGAAGGTTTCTTTTTCAATTTCTTCATTAATGTATTTAAATTTTTAACATTGGTATGAAAATGGTATAAAATGATTTTTCTTTCAATTATTTTTCAGTGATTGTGGTTTGTACACGTGTCTATTTGATGAATACATCAGTAATGGAGTTTTGGATATGCATTCTGTTAATATCGATGCAAAGTATCATCGTCAAAGGTATGCCACAATCATATGGCATTATGGAAAAACAAAGAATGATGATGGCGCGATCAGTGAGAGTGAAGTAACTGGCACTGTTGCTAGCAAATTTGATTGACCCCGCATAGTAAAAGAACATGCTCCGAATACCATCAATTATCCCACACCAAGACCACGGAGATCAAATTTGAGATAGTTGATTGCACCTTAGACTTTTTAGAATTACATTGTTTTTTTTACTTTTGGACGATATTTTTGTGTTTGTTACAGCTTTAAGTATTTGATATATATAATATCCACTATTTTATTTCAAAAAGATACCAATTACATATGAATTACAGATTGACTATTGTAATCGCAGGATACTAGTTATATACAGACTGCATTCAAAATAGATACACCATTCTAAAGATAAATTACACATTGACTATAATAATTCTCGGGATAACAGTTATATACAAAATGCATACAAATTGGATTCAACATTTATAGTTTATGATTTTACATTGTCTTATTAACTAGAAAGAAATCATACTACTAATTTAGAGTTCATGAACTAACTCTGACTTATAATTGGTATCCAAAATGTACACCTTTGGCATCCAAATTCATATTCTAACACAAAAAAATAAAAAAATAAAAAATAAATGAAGTTGGTATCCAACATGTATAAATACCTTGTATAAACGATTATGCCAATGTAAAATAGTGATAATTGTATTTTGTAACAACCTTAATTACATTTTTGTTTGTACATTTTTTTCATCCTGGACAATTTACAACCTAATTGTAAATTATATTGTCTTAACAAGTGTGGATTAAGTATTTTTAAAAATGTATGAAGTTGTATACAATCTGTATAAATACTGGAATAAACGAATCTTACAATTTAAAACAGAGATCATTAAATGTTGCACCAACATCAATTACATCTGATTTTTATTTTTTTTTGAAAATGGATAAAATAAGACTTTTTAATTAATTTTAACAGATTAGAGTGAATTAAGGAAAACAAATATTCCTAATTAGTTTGAATCTCCTAAATGTATGCTAATTAATAATTATCATCAATCAATTCAAATTTAATTAATACATCTATTTCCATAGTTTTTTTCTTTATTATTTCTAATTCCGTTTTTTTTTAAAATTTTCGTTTATCTTTTTTTAAAAAAAGTTTTTTCCAATTAATAAAAACATTTCTTTTTTTTGTAAATTTGTTATAACCTGAAATTAATAATGCTATAGCTTGAAAGTCTAAATCTACTGCTATAGCTTGAAAATAGTACTATAATATATGTCATATATGGAATTTACACATTTGTTTTCCAATTCTCCCAGCCCATTTTTTCCCCATACATTACAACATTCCTAGCCCAACAA